TGCAGAGATGAAAGTATTTTGCCCTTAGAATCATCTGGAGCTATAAAAGCMTAAAAAGTCAGCTTTGTGTAAAACTGTCCATTGAGTGAAGGGGAAAGCAAAAAGCATTTTTAAAGTTTATATCATTTAGGACTTCTACAACAAATAGAAGAAGGTCTTTTGATCATATATGAAGGTCTTTATATTATGTGACATAAATCCATTAACTCAAAATCATTATTTCATTATGTTCCTTTGGGTGAATAGTGTGCCAGGGACATTAGAATCAAATAAACAGCTTAATGCCTTAAAAACAAATTTTGTCAAACGATTGATTTCCGTCTCAGAARTGATGCTAGTTTTGAGATTTATAATCCAAAATGATGCTGACCCAGAACATACTGTACCACTGCAGCAACATGCAACCTTAAAATACACAAATGGTTTATTCTAAGCTCACACTCTAAACAATTACAGAATATAATGTTTGACCTACACAGGCAGAAATTACCCAGCAGCTTAAAGAGCTTTTGCTTTGTGGAATGGCCTTAAATCCCAGAAGAGATAGGTGTGTTAAGCATATKTAAACACACTGCACCCCACCAGAGACCTGCAGCTATAATTAATGTAAAAACGGCTCTATAACGTATTGATTTCATTGTCTGGGTGAATTCTTAGACTACTGTTCTGCTTTTTTTATTAAATTGTTTATGGTCAGAAATGGTGGTGGATATTTACATCACAGTTTGTTTTTATTTCATGTCTGACAATGAATAATTTTGAATAATTAATTACAAATGGACTCCAAGACAGACTTCACGCTCAGTGTTGTGTTGAAGGTTCTGTACAAAAAACTCTGATTTACACAATAAAGTTGCWGTTTTCCTGTTTTCACTTGACGACTACATTTATTCTAATGAGTTTGTGTTCTTCACTCCATTAATACAACGTGCTCCTATCATGTGACAAACCAAGTCGAGTTGGATGTTTTGTTTGTTCTTTTTCTTTATTGGAGTAARTGATTTGTTTTGAGCAAACGCATCAAATGATGTGCGAAATTCTTCTTTGTGTGATCATGCAGACAGCCTGAAGAGTAAAAGCCCGAGTTTACAAAGTAACATTCCACCGCCGTAGTTCTTGTTTCTGACTGGACTTTTAGATTTTGTCAAGCTAGGCTACAGAGACCACCCAGCTGAACCAATCATCATATACACCCCCTTAAAATAAATCCAAASAGGTCTCAGTGAACATGCATTCTTTTTTGATCTGAACATCAGATGACTTTTGAGGTTTTATACATCAAAAACCTTTTTTAAATTTAAATCTTCTTTATATTAAGTTAATTTCTGTCACAAYTTTGGCTTGTTCTTTATTTTAAGGCAAACTGAAAATTTAATTRATGTTACACAACTGTTTATAAAATGTGCTCACACATAAACTAAAAAGTGAACAAAGTGTTTGCTTCTGCACAGGATGTGTTACAGTATTTAATAAGGTCACGTCTGTTTTGGGAACAATCAGAATCTGACAAACAACAGTTGTGTCTTCTTGAATAAATAGAAAGAAAACAAACTTTAAGTGTAGAAAAAACTGCTTGTGGAAATGAAAGAAACAATCGGTTGTTACACAGGATGAAGTAATTTAAAACTGTGGGGAAAAAGGTCACTTGGCTTATTAAAGAAACAAACTGCAACAACTGAAACATACTGCATGTCATTTGAACTCAGTCTTGATGTAATTTATGTCATCTTGGAGTTCTCCATCATAAATTTACCACRGGATGCATTTTGAATTAATGAGGTTTGGAGTAAATGTTCACAGAAATGACTGCAGTGTAAGTCATTGTAAAGTCCTCTAGTYTTTTCAGGTATAATATACCAGGGGTGTCCAGTCCTGGTCCTCGAGGGCCGATATCCTGCATTCGAATAGCTTTATGCAGAGCCTGAAGTGGGGTTCAGTCACTGAATCAGGTGTGTTGGTGCAGGGAAACAAGTACAACATTTCTGTACATTTAATTGATCATCAAGTCTTGAAACGCGATTCATGACTGAAATAATTTCCATTTAAATTATAACATTTAGTCATATCAGTCATTTCTTTCCTCATACTGGTGTGCATTCTGGGTTGTGTTACTTGACAACTTGCTCATTAAAGTATCTCTTTCCATATGAAGATGAATAAAACTCTAAACAGAAACATTAAATAAAGTAGGAAGTTATGAAACTGGCTGAGTGAAAATGGCAAAAACAAGCCGATAGAATTACTTTGTATCTTTTTTTATTTTTGACCATCACAGCTCAAAGACCCATCAGATTGTTTTTACCAGTTTGTATGAAAACTTTTTGTGAAAGAAAACAAACTATAACAGAAAGAAGTCAAACTCTGACAGCATTTTCAACCTAAATTCAAATTTGACTAAGCTCTGTGGCATTGCTGTTTGTTTCAATGTTTAATAAATCGTTGTTTTATATAGGAAAAAAAACTCCTCCTGGGGCTACAATCTATGTTAAATTTATGTTTTTGTGCTTATTGAACAAAATACAGGCGTGACCTCAATCACTTTTGCTGACCTAAAGACTTTCCTCAGGAAGGAAATGTTAAATATATACGTAAATTTGAATAAAAATGTAGCTGTGTTCAGACAACATGGTGTCAGAATAATCAGAAGGGATTTTACTGCCCTTTTTYCCACCTGTATCTGACTTAATGTACTTCCAACAGCTAATTTCACTGGGCAAAAAAAATCCTGAGGCAAATGTTGTTGTTGCTGAATTACTTCTGTATCAGAATTTAAATTTGAAGGAGCTTGAGGCAGTGTGTTCACACAGAAGGACACAAGTCTTTAGAACAAATCAGGCCCATTCTTCATGGTTTTGGTCTYTGGGAGGAAATCAGAGWACCCAGAGAAAACCCATGCAAYCACCAAGAAAWCYTGRAAACTTTGCACAGAAACACCCTGAACCGTGGGGTTGAACCCAGGACCTTCTTGCTGCGAGGCATCAGTGCAAACCACTGAGCCATTGTGCTGCCAGAGCATGATGAAAAACTTAACGGCAACCCTTCATCAAAACGCTAATTTATCTGATTATTTTAAAARGATTAAACTGCTGCCATTCAAGCAAAATTATAAAAACAGTTTTTCTAGGTTTCTTCTGAAGCAAAACYATATATTCCATTTTCATTTGTGTTTTGAGTTCTTTTTTATTTTTTATTTTTTGGATTTTTGTCCATCTTTAGCAGATTTTTTTCAGTAATATTTTGACTTCACTTTGTGTACAGTACTTTAATTTTTCTGTTGATGTCAGTGTAAGTATGTATCAGTTCTGACTAATTGCATAAATTTTAAAGTTTGCAGTGTTTTTATTCTTATATGTTCTGCTGGTGGGCAGTTTTGGGGGGGAGTTGTGCTGCAGGTGCAGTTTGTGTGTTCTAACTATGTCAAGTATTTATTTCTCTCTCTCTCTCTCTCTCTCTCTCTCTCTCTCTCTGTGTGTGTGTGTGTGTGTGTGTGTGTGTGTGTGTG